TGCTTTTACTGTTTGTAAATTAGGAGCAATATCTCTACAGAAGTGGCTGGAATTCCAGTTACAAATCTACTGCTCTCATACCGCCATTCCCTGAGAAGTATTTGAACCATTTTTTTTTTTTTTTTGAAATAAAACCACAACTGTCCTTCACCTCTCAGACTGCAGTTTTACAGCCTTTATGCCAAAAGAAGCAGCTGCCGGTGCTATTGCACTGACCAGAAGAATGCTGAAGGAGCATTTGGTGGATTCCAAGTTGAAAAGAAATGTGTTTTTCCAAGATCCAGCTAAAAAACATGGTAAGAGTGGTACGATTCTGTGAGCAATACTAGGATTTATTTGCTTAGCTTTACTCTTTTTTCCCGTTCACATCTATGCATGATTTTGATTCTGATGAAACAGTCAGTTCACCCTAGTAGCACCTATGCCTTATCAGCAATGAGCACGATCATTATGTGATCTCTCCTCTCACAGTGAATTTTTCTTTACGTCAGGTAATAAACACAACGAATAAATTCACTTTACAGAAATGTCTCCGCCCTTCTCACCCCTACCCATCCTTGTTCTTTTCAAGGAGGGTTTTTTTTTTAAAAAAACATTTATCTCACTACCAGAGTCTCGGTGCTTTTTCCATCAGAGTATCTATGCTCACACCACGTGGTGCCTGGCTAATGCTGTGCAGTCAATTATGCAGTATCTGGGCAGAGAAGCAATCACAGCACGTATGAACGTAACGTTGAAGCGATCACCTGATGTCTTTTTCTTAGCCTGATCCTTACCACTGCTGCTAGTGGAAAAGGGTCTCTAAAAAACCAGTCTCATGCCTTTTTTTTTTTTTTTGTTCTCCATCTCCTTCCCTGTTTTAGTAAAATACTTGTTTTGTGTTAGGCACAATTACAGTCAGGCGTATAGAAAGGAGAGGGGTTTGTTAGTAATGTTTCACTTTACCAACTAGTAGACCTCTCACTTTTTGTACACTGGTATTTAATACAGCAGTAGAAAGACAAGCCCGATTATACACACTCACACAGTGCCAAGACTGGGCTTGGCTATTTTTCTCTTCTTAAAGAGGGCAAGGAAAACTGTTTACCATACTTGGACTAAAACCATCTCAAGCTGTAACTGGCCGTACATGTTTAACTTGCATCACTGTGGGATGTACATATAATCAGTATGATATGAAACATTTTCATGATTACATTACATTTTCTATTTAGGAGTTTGAAAAATGATTTCTCCTGCTGTTTTCATAACACTGGTACCATAGCATTACACAATTTTGCCTGGGAGGGATGGCAAATATTAAAAAATGACAAAACACAAAAGCTGAGTTATATACCTGTAATTCCTCCGCTCCCACTGCTAACATTTACTACCCTGCCCTCTCTAATTTCTGCTGAACACCTCGGCTCTCACTCTCACCATCAGAAACCTGAATCTTCAAGCTGCAAAGAAAAGGTTATCACTTCAATTCATTCGTGGGCAAATTGCTCAAACTCAGCTGTCAGTCAACGGTCCACTCCAGCATCCGAGCTGATTTGTAGCTATCATGGGTGTTTACTCGACAGATTCTCACAAGCAAGCTGGAGCAGAGAATATGTGTTTAATGACAGCATCATGCCGATGACACATTTTCTGCAGATAACATTTGCATTATGTGTTTACTGTTTGCAGAGCATCTGGAAGACATCAAATGAAAAGGAAGACATACTTCTTTTTCAGAGCACATATTCCAGCAAAAAAAGAGAACACGAGTCCATAGGAAAGCACTTCAAATGGGAGAAGTCTGGATCTTCCTGCTCCCTTTCTACCTTCTCCATTTCTTTCCATCCTACTCCATTACCTTTCTGTCCCTTCTTTTTTTATCCCTGTTCTTCTCTTACTTTGGAAAAAATATATCTGAAGGAAGAGAAAAGCAGATGCACTCATATCTTAATCCCATAGTTTTCATTATTTATGAATTTTGAATATGAACAGAGATTGGAACTAATCAGCAGACCGTTGGAAACATGAATATTCATTAATTCTGAATCCCTATATTACTCTGCCAGGTATTGTTTAGATGCAAGGAACATACGTGTTGTTTAATCACTACTTGTGGAAAAGAAAGCTAGCAGTATCTTTAACTGTCCCATGTCTTATGAAGTGCACGTTTTGGACAACAAACTGTGGTACATGTGTGTATCCTTTGAAAAGGGAAAAAAGAACTAAAACCTTACAAATATCTTTATGAATGTCTAATGCCCTCTGCTTGAAAATCAAAACATCCCAAAATTACACTGCAATGATAGGCAGGAATAAAATATCTTAAGTATTGCTATAACCTAAATATTAATTTAGTTTTGCAACTCCACAGCCTAAAGAAAGCCTAAGGCATTCACAACAGTGAACCCGTAAAGAAACATGACATTAAGCGTAAGCACTTATTTACACTTAGGCAGACATTAACATCTAGCAGCAATTTTTTTATATAAGTAATAAGCTGCTGCCACCTTCTGAAGAAAGCTCAGCATGACTACGAATGCCATCTTTCTCACAAGGCCAAAGTAAAATGAGATATGTGTTCTAAGCCAAGAAAATTAGGCAACAAACCAAGTTCTGCTCCAGCATCAGTAAAAAAATCTGCTGCATTTGCATGGTCTTGCTCAAAAAGCTAATCTGAGGGTGGTGTCGACACTCCCAAGCACCAATGTAAGCACATCATCCTTATCCCAGCTCAGGAAAACGCTTTGACATCTACTAACCATCAAACAGGCAAAAGTGCCCCTGAAGCAAACCAACAGTACAGTTACTTCTCTTTAGCCATACCCTTCTTTACTCCTTAAATGCCCACCTGATTGAAGAAGAGTCTACTCTCCCTGGGGACCCCTTCCAACCACAACTTCTCCATTACAAAGCAACAGAAAGTCACAGTTTCTCCGAGTGCTTTCTGCAAGAACAACCTGCCTCTCGAGCGGCGCTGTCACCCTCGCCGGCAGCCAGGGGCCTCCTTTCTGGTGGAACTGGGTGCGGCGCGGGGGGTGGTGGTGTGAGCAACCCCCCCGTGCCCTGGAAATGGGCCCCCGCTAATCAACACCGGCCGTCTGCCCACCCACATCTGGGAGCTCCTGCTCAGGCAGAGGAGCCCCAAATCTCTGGTGACTATGAGAAAGTGATGGATGTCCCAGTGCATTTGCTCCCTCTGCCGACTTCAGCCATCGCAGTGGTGGTAGCAGCTTTATTTATGGTTTTACATTCTGGCGGCACGAGTAGCATCACAGAGTCCAACGGCAGAGCAGTAGCAAACCAGTGTCACCGCTGGCAAGTCAGTGCTTCACAGTCTGTACCTCTGTTACGAATAGATTGATCACCTCTCCAAAATTTTCCTAAAGAATAAAACTGTGGCATTTTAGCCTGATTTTCAAAGCAAATGAAGATTAAATCATTTTACTGTCTAGCTGCTCTATCTTCCTATAACTTTTTAACGCATTGACCTGTTTCAACTAAATTTGATAGGAAATTGAAAGTCTCAAAAATATAATTTCTAGAAACTTAGAGAACTCATAGAGCATATAGCCAGAGAACAGCAATCTTCAAAAGCCACACTGCTGATGGGCCAGCCTGCTTCAAAGACATACCAAACTACAGTCCAGTGACCTGGGGGAGGAGGAAAAATCATAATCCAAACCATAAACTGCACGTGCATTTCCTGGGCAATGCTTAAAGCCCCACAGTGGCAGAATATTAAAACAGATTTGTCTTCAAAGCAGTTCTGAGTTATGCTGGGAACATGGCCTAACAGAAGCCCAAATTATGAAGGATATTCAAAATAACCCTGCCTTAATGATCATTTCTTGATGCAGCTATAAAGACTTTTCCAGTAACTCAAGAAGTTTGCGAGTCTGCACTTAAAGATGCTTGCAAGAAGAAAACTAAGCCAAGATGGAAGCAGAGAGTTACCACCAGACCTCATATTACTAGAGAAAAAATACATCCGCCACCCCTTTGCGTGCAGCGCAAAGCCCATCACCATCTCTACATGTTTACTGGCACGTTTACGTTTCTTACTGCCAGCGGGCAGCTCTCAGTGTGCCATCCCAGTGCTTCGAGGCTCCATTTGTCTGACACCAAACAAAAATATGGCCGCGGTTTTGAGGGTTGCTGATTTTCAGGGAGGTCTTACTGTTATTGTGTCACAGACTCAGGCAGGCCTTAATTTCACAATAATATTAAAACAGAAGTTACGACAGCTGTAAACCTGGTGATTTTAATTCGAAGCATTTCTCTAGAACTAATTTAGCCTTTCCTTCAAAAACGCACACGAGCAGCTCTTCACCACCATCTTGCGTGGGTAAGATCCCATCTGGGATTTTTTTGCTAAAGCTGAAGACGTCACACCTTTGCTCGTTACGCTTTTGACTACTGGGCTTTTCTTCTTAATTCCTGAGCAGCAATGCTGCACCTGGGCTGGAGCCCTCCGCCGTTTATTTTGTGGGTGTTTAGGTTTTTTTGGTTTGTTTTTTTTTTTTTTTTCCCCTTGCTTCCTTATGTTCACACAACCACCAGCGGCTTCAGTGACCACCTACCCCAACCGTCCCTAGGGCTCAGGGCCCCCTCCCACACCCCTCCCAGCGGCGGGCGGCCTCCGCAAGGGGCAGGCGGCGCGGGCAGACGCCCCCCCCGCCGCCGCGTTTGCCCCGGGGACCCGCGGAAGGCGCGTTGGTAGCGGAACCCGCTCCTGGCAGGCGGCGGGAGGAGCCGAACCCGGCGGGACCGGGGTGCGGGGGGACGCGGCACCCCGTTAATCCTCGCCGAGGGGCCCCGCGGCGGCGGCGGCGGGAGGGGCGGAGCGAGGGGGCGCGTCCGGGGGGGGAGGCGTGTCCGGGGAGGCCCCGCCCACCGGAGCTGTCCACGGCGGTAGGTGCTGAGCGCCGCCGCGCCTCCTCGCGCAGCCGGGCGGGGCCGGCGCCTCCCCGCGAGCGCCGGCGGGGGGGGCCGCTCCTGCCCCCGCCCCGCTCCCGCCGCCGCCGCCGCCGCCGCCGCCCGGGGCCATGGCGGCGCTGGTGCTGGTGCTGCTGGCGGCGCTGGGCGGGCGGGCCGTGCTGCCGGGCGGGCGGTGCGCGGCGCCGCTGGCCGACCTGCGCTCGCAGATCTCGGGCGTGGAGTCGCTGCTGGAGGAGTTCCGCCGGCAGCTGCAGCAGGAGGAGCCGGGACCGCCGGCGGCGGCGGCAGCGGGCGGCGGGGAGCGGTGCGGCGGCAGCGGCGGCTTCTCCGCCAGGCCCGACTCCATCATCCGCACCAAGGACTCCATCGCGGCCGGCGCCGCCTTCCTGCGGGCCCCCGCCGCCGTGGCGGGCTGGCGGCAGTGCCTGGACGCCTGCTGCGCCGAGCCGCGCTGCACGCTGGCCGTGGTGCAGGGGCCCGGCCGGCCGCGGGGGGCGGCGGCGGCGGCGGAGCTGGGCTGCTACCTCTTCAACTGCACCCACCGCGGCCGCCCCGTCTGCCGCTTCGCCCCGCACCGCGGCTACAGCACCTACAGCCGCCGGCCCGCCGGCCTCGCCCTGCAGCCGCCGCCGCCGCCGGGTAAGGGCCGCCGCGGGCGGGCGGGCAGCGGGGCCCGGCCCAAGATGGCTTCGCGCGGGGAGGGCGGCGGCGGCCCCGCGGCGGGAGGGAAATGGCGGCCCCCGGCGCGGGGGCGGGCAGGGCCGGCGACCGGGCACCGGGCGGCGCCGCCGCCATTTGCTGCCTCCGCGCCGTGGGGCATCGCCCGCGGGAGGAGGGGACGAGGCGTGGCGGGGCCTTTCGGCGGGGGCCCCCACCCCGGGGCGGGAGAGGCGGCCCAGACACGCCCGAGGGGGCGGGTGGAGGGGGGGGGCCGGGTTTGATAAAAACGGGCCTCGACCCCTCCGCCGGTGCAGACCCCTCGGGAGTGCCCGTCCCAACCGGGCGGGCGTCGGGAGGCGGCCGGTGGGATGCGCGGGGGCGCGGGCACCGCGGCCCCGGGGGGGCCGGCTGCGGGGAGGGGAGCGGGCTCGGCGGGGGAGCTGCGGGTGCGAACCGCCGGTGCCCGCCGCAGGAGCCCGAGGGCCGGCACGGGCCCGGCTGCTTGGGGGTGCTCTCCAAATGTCGCCGCCTAAGCGGGCTCCTCGTTCGCTTAAATCAGAATTTTTCCGGTTTAAGAACTTGCGAGCTAGGCTGAAGAAGACGAGGATGTCTCACCAGTAGTCCAGAGGTGGCGTGGAGACTGTATAACCGCTTCTGGCGTCTGGGCCGCATCAAAAGCGGCAGTTTGTTCAACCCTGAAGCGTATTTAAGAACAACATAATCCAGAGCAAGCAGCTGTAGATGAAAACACGTCTGGATTTCTAAATTTGGAGCCTGTTTCCTAGCATCTGATCCAAAGAACTTGCTCCTACTCCCGCAGCGCCTGTTGTTAAACAGTTGCATCTTAATTTATTTTGTCTTCATTTCATTGCCTTCTGTTGGCAATACTTTCCTACATGTCTTCATCTTCTTTACGGATGTATCTCAACCGAACTAAATTGGTCACTGCGTGGAACATGAATAAGACCTAGTGGTGGTGTAAATGAAAACCACATGTCCAGATGACGCCCGCTGTTACTGCTCCCTTGGCAGGGGAGCCCTCAGGCTGGATGTCCGTCCACTCCTGCCTGTCGTATGAGAATGCCCGTGGGAATCCCCTGGAGATACGAGAGAGCAGGGGCTCAATTTTTAGAGGAGTTATGATGCCTAAATATGTTTTGCAAAGTGCATGGGTAGGTAAACTAGAGAGCTACAGGGAGGAACTTATGGTAGTAAAGATGAGGCAATCTTAAGGTACCAGAAAAACCCAAGGTATGATTTTGATGTTTTCAACAGGAAAAGTATTAGTTCCACAGTATTATTTATGTAGCAGGTTTTGGGTCATTGTGTTTTATAACCCTGTACATGCTTGCAAGATAGAAGGTTTAAGACTAGGTTTTACATCAAAGTCACAGAGAACTGGGCTTTTTTGAAAACCTTTAAAAATATCTTTAGATGTCCTCCATCATTTTGAACTGCCTTAAGTCCATTAAAACCTGGCACTGACGTAGAGTGCAGGTATGGCATGATATAAATAATACTGTTGTTCAAACGATACTCTACCTGTTAGAAATCTTGAATTTCTTTAATTCCTTGAGTTCTTGAATTCTGGAATTCTTGAATGCTTTGCTTGTTGGCAGCTTTCGTGACTATTAGCACTGGGCTTGCAAGGCAATTTCAATTCCTAATCTGCGGATTGCTCTGTGTCCTGTTGGGTTTATTGAAAAGTCTGCTATTGAAAAGTCTGCCTCGTGCGTGATTGTGGTATCAGAAGCGAGGGATTATGACTTCTTAATGCAATTACACTGGAGCTGAAGCAGATCCACGAAGGAGAATTAACTTTTATTCAAACATCTGCCAGCCGTGACATAGACCAGGAGAGATAAAATTATGAGAGATAAAATGTCTGATGTTATGTTACCACTGTGTTCTTGAATTGAAAAATTAATCTGGACAACAGTGCATTGTCACAGGACCATGAAGGCACATCTATTTTCCCTTATGTCACCCAGTGATTGAATTTAGGAAATTTAGGAGAGGGCTTTTGATTTCAAGATTTTCTTTCATGAGGGGATCACATTTTACCTTTTTTTTTTTTTTTTTTTTTTTTTGAGTACTGTGGTGTTGAGTCTTCTGCTATTTTCATTTTGATAATCCCAAACCAACACTTATCTGTAAATGTGGTGTCCTTATAATTCTGTAATATTCCTGAGCATTAGTATACAATAATCTCTAAGGTGTGGTTTCATTTATGTTAAGGATCCTCAGAAAACCAAACCCAATTATTTATTTAATTCTGGGCACAATTAATAACAGATACATATTTCTCAGACCGAGTATATTTCTGTGTACTTCCAGGACAGTCAGCAGTGGGATGAACTTTTGAGACTGAATATTTCAGTGTAAATCCAAGTCCTTCACTTTATACCCAGTTTGTGCTGGTTTAGCTGTGGATTTACTTTGCACTTCTAGGCAGTTTGTGCTGTGTTAACAGTGAAACCCCATATGCCTATAGTGAAAGAAAAGTTAATTGGTTTTGCCTTTGTTAAGCAAGTTTTTAAATTTAGAAAGAAAAAGGACTTGAGTGCCTCACCAGAAATGTCTGACTCTCCTTCTGCGCTACTCACTAGTGATGAGCAACAGGACTATTCAGCATTAAGGTAAACGAGTATCAAAGCCATTCAGGAATCAACAGTGAAATAACCTTTTATAACAAAGCCTTCATTCAGACAACTAGCTGGCAGCATCATTATTGGCAGGCCAAGTCTGTATAAAGGATGGAGGAAACAGAATAAATAAAGGCTGTTATGTTCCCCCCCAAAGAAAAGTGTTGCTCATAAAGTTGCAACCCCTTTTCTAGAAAGCAGCCAGCTCCAGCCTCTCAGTGTGTTGATCTGGTATATCAGTTTCTTATTGCTTATTTATGTTCAACCTAAATAAAAGTTAGAAACAGAAGTTAAAGGATGCTTTCCGAGCTTAATTTTTCTGCTCACCTGTGGCTGATAGTCCTTTACTCCTGTGAGCAGTGGTTGTAAGTGGTTTGTGGGTATGCCTCCTTGATTTTTTTATGCTGACTTCTTAGAAGCATGTGTTCCCCAGATTTGCTGCGGCAAAAGAGTCTTCAGCTCCATAAGCTCTCTCCTCCCATGCCAGATGTCTCACTCAGCCCAATTTTTTCTTTACTAGAGCAAAATATGAGCTGATTTGCCATTGATTTACCTTTCTGAAGATGTTCTGGTGGCTTACAAGAAAAGGCATGATGCCGCTGTCCTCTGGGACCAGAGGCCCGAGTGTGGTCCCCCACTCATCTTTAGCAAAGAGTGTGCATGAATTTCTGTGACCTGCCCCAACGTGAAGTGGTCCTGCCATTGCAGCTCGGGCTGCTGGAGTATAAAGTTAGTCCGGGAAGAGAATATCCTTACTGCTTAGGGCCCAGGGGAAGTGGGGCTTGTCTCTGCCCCTGCTGGGCATTGATCAAGTCATTTAAACCAGACATGACGCAAAACCACCTTCCAAGCTAGAAGTGGAAGCATGAGCTGTGCTGTTTCAGACCCGGGTCGGTTCTTTTTGCCGGTGATCAGTAAAGTAAATAATCGTGCAAAGACTGTAGGTAACTCTGTCGGTAAAAGTTGCCCTGGCACCAGAATGATGGTGTTTGTTAACAATGAGTGGTGGTTTTTGCACCTAAATGTTGTTTTTTAAACGAAGTTGGTTTTGAGAACTGAGTGCATACAAATTAGGCAAAGCTTCCTGTGCCAGCTGGATGAGCAAGAACTGTTTCATACTTCCTATTATTAGACCCTGTTTTCAGTTATTTGTACATTCTCCTAACTTAAGGCATTTGCCTTGAAATTTTCTACACCCAGCCTCCTACAGAGAAAAACAAGAAATGAAATGTTTGCTGTTCAGTCAGTGATAAAAAATTGTCTCACTGCTCTGACGAGCTCCGTGCCTTCATTCAAGTTCTTGAAACTGGAGAGGAGCATGTGCAAGGGAGAATCCCTACAGTGATGGGGAAGTGCCTTTGCTTTCCTTGTGCAACTCCGCCCACACTGAGTGAAGTTACACCTTGTGTTCAGTAGATGCTTTTCTGAGCTTAATATCCTTTACAGAATTTCCTTTCTGGAGGCTGAAAAGCAGAAAGCAACCTGTCACTTCAGGGTGCCAGAAACATCCCATGCCCAGAGAAATAATGACACTTCAGTGGGGAACCGCAGAAGGATACAATCTTAGGGCTAAAGTTGTCAAATGCTGACTCGTAGAGCTACATTTTATACTTCTGCCTTCCCTGCACTGCCTGAAGGCTGCAGAGCAAATGACTTCAAACCACTTCTCACAGGCCATGTCAATTAAGTTATCATGGGCTTTGTTAGTCTAACCTGAAAAACTTGTGGTCTGATTGGCAAAAGCACTTAGTGCTCACAATTTTAATCAATAAGAATTGTACTTTGAATATAACAAAATGTAATAAATCCTGAATAGTCTGAAAATCAAGCTCTGAATGTCTTAAATTAGGCACTTAAAATTAGTGGTAATTTCTGATGATTTTTAATCATTATGTGTACTGCCTCACCAGAATGCCAGCTTCTGTTAAATAAGTCTTTCACTCCTGTAATGATATAAGAAGAGACTAGAAACCTGTTAAGTTATGCAGAGTGCTGTAAAAGGTGTGCAGTAACTGCCATCTGAATATGTATGTAGTTCATATTTAAATCCATTTTCCTTAGTTAATATTAAGAAACGACACCGATGCTAACAATCCTGTTTGTTGTATAATGAAAACTCCATGTAGATAGAGAGGTTTTCTCCGCCACGTGATTCTAATGTAGCAGCTACCTCCTGAAGACATCACTGATTGTGGAACAGCTAACTAAAATTTAAGTAGATACTACTTTGCTTAACAAAATGTGCACTAATGAACATGTCCTGTCTTTCAGGAAGTTGCCCAGTGGTGAATCAATACCTTCACCAAGAAAAATTACGATTGACATAAATAATCACTTGGCTTCCCCTGATAAATAACTGAGCCTCTCTTTTCTATTGAAGAAGAAGAATATGATGAGCCTCCACGGTGCAAGGCAGGAGAAGATATTGTGCTGCAGTCACCTGTCGACTGGGTGCTTTTGGATGGCCGAGAAAGTTCAGATGACCATGGAATTGTGCAATACGAGTGGACACTGCTGCAAGGTGACTCATCGGTTGAAATGAAGGTACACGTGCAGTCTCGCACATGGCCAGTTACTGGCAGGTTGTTGTGTTCGTACAGTTTTAAACGTAGAGCCAAGAATATTAAACGTATTCAAATGGGTATGGCTACCAGGCACCAAAATTAGGATGACTGTACAACTTGAGCGTTTATTTCATAGAAATATAGAGCAGCGCAGGTTGGAAGGGACTTCAAAAGATCAGCTGGTCTAAACTTCTGTGGGACAAGGATCTTAGGTGAGATTATCTGATCTGTTCAATCACATCTTGAAAACCTTCTGTGATGGGAACTATACAGTGTCCCTAGGAAGTTTGTTCCAGTGATTATTTCTAGCAGTTTACACAGTTCATCTCTATCCAGGATGGCATGAGACAGCCAGCAGCAAACAAGTAGATGCTAATACTCCACTGGATTTCAGCTCAGCTCTCTTTTGCCATTGTTTGTGCTCACTGCACTTGTTTTTCAGCTTCTGTGATCCAGGTTAGAGACACCTCAGTAACTCAGTTACTAAAAATAATGGAGTGTTTTCAGCAACAGTGCTCTGTCAGTGCTTATGGAGAAACTGCAAAGAAATATGTGAAATAGACCTTATGAGATATCTTGGGATACTGTTTTATTATATTCATACAATTTCTGCTGCAATTGGGTTTCAACTTAAAATTAACCATGAAGAGAGGGATTTTCCATCCTACCCTTCTTTGTGAATGCTCTAGGAGCAAGTAGAAAAGGAAAGATGTCTCAAGCCCGTAGAGTGTACTCACAGTCTGCTCACTGCTCACACAGTATTCAGGGCACACTGGGAACTCCACCTAGCGCAGGAGGGACGTGTAAAGGGGAGAGAGTGTGGACCATAGACCTTCCTGTTTCTGGGATGCTGCCAACGGATAGGAGAAGTTTAAACAGGCCAGGATCACCAACAGAACAGTCCAGAACCCAAGAGGCCATGTGTGCCAGTGCCACCATGAGCAGTCCCTGAGTGCTGCTGCTTATGTCTCAGTAATATCAAAGTCAAAATACCAGTATCAGCAAAGTTATTCAAGATGTGTAATGATGGAACAAACCAGAGTTTTGCCTGACACGAAGAGCTAGCTAAAAGTATTGAAACCTAAAACTGTCATCCATGGCAAAACCCAGCGGAGAAATTGGTTATTCCTTAGTCTCCTGGAGGGCATTGTAGGTAATGTGTAGGTATTTGAAGATCACCACGTCACAGTTAGGAAACATGCTGCTGGATGAACCCAGAGAAGACAGTTGGCTTTCTCTGGTGAATAGTTGCTGAAATGTATGCACAGGTAACTTTTTATAAACGTACTCCTCACAGAAAACTCAGCAGGGCTATTCAAAAGTATTAGTTAAGCCAGTGCTGCGTGCCTTTGAAAGTTCTGTCTTCTGCTGCAAGATCCACGTCTTTGGAAGGGTGACTGCAGTCAGCCAGTTCGGAATGACTCGAGGCTGCACTGCAATATGAAACTGGCATGTCAAAGACCACTGTGAGTTTGTTTTTCTTCATGTATTATTTTATCGGCTTGAAAATTAAAAGGTCAGAAGACTTTGTTAAGGAGTGTGAACAGCATGATACATAGAAGAGATTTGAACAAAGCTTTTAAGAATAGTTGCTAGATACCATCTAGATAAAATGAATGTTTTATTATCAAGGGTTGTTAATCTGACCCTTTGCAACATTATTTTCTTCAGATAAATACTCTAAATTAATCTGTGATGTAATAATATATCCAGAGTAAGTCAAAAATTAGAAGTTAACTAAAAAAATTTAAAGTTCATGTTTTTACTTTTACTTAAAGCCACTCCATAAAATATAGGCAAGTCATAGATCCATTTAAACTCGCAAAATTCACATTAATCTTGGTGATTTCTTTATATTTGATAATGGAAGACAAATTTGACACACATTCATGCTTAAATAAATGCCTTTTCGTTGTGTTCAAATGAGCAGGGATTTCTCCTACAGATATGTACCGTGACAATTATCCATGATAATTTAATTTTTGGAGTTGAATTAGTAATTGTGATTTTTTTCATACAGTCTTCAGTTGCTGTCTTTATTGCTTTAGTTGCTGTCCTGAACTTACTGGATTTCATGTAATTTACTCTTAGAAAATGATATATGAATCCATAGCTACAAAGGAGAAGGACACTGTGTTTAAATAAGATAAAAAACAGCTGTTGCATTGCACTTATGTATCAAAGAATAAATAGAAGGCAGAGGAGGGGGAACAACTGCTATAAAGAGATCTTATCGTATTGCAGAAGGAAGCCAGTGGAAAATTTTTCTCCTATTGTGACTGATTACTGCTTCTTAGATAATTTGCTTCTCAGATTGCTACCCACATGCTGTAGCTGCACAGCTCTGTGACACTTAGGGGCAATTACGGGTTGGGGCAATTACGGGTTGTTTTTTTTTTAAATGCTGATTATCTGGAAATTTACTGTCTAGTTTGAGCCAAAGCTTATAAGAAAGCAGGTACAGTCGGGCATTCTTCAGGGCAGGACAGAGATAAAAAGGGAGGCACAGAGGTCTCCAGGAGGAGTGGCGGCGTGGTGGGAAGCCAGTGTTATTTCTCTGGCTCTGCAGCGAGGAGAGAGTTGGACTCTACAGCTCATGAGTTTTAAATACCATATTTGCTCTCCCAGCAGTCATGGTGTTTTTTAGAGCATATTTATTTCTGTAATATATTAAAGAATAAAATTCTAATGGGTCACGTACTCCATCAGGAGGTAATCAACAGCATGATCAGGTAACTGACTGCATTTGTGTAAATAGAAAAGGAAAGAAACTTCAGTTAGGAAATTCACTTACGAGAAGAGAAAAATGCATTTATCAATACACCCTGATATAAAGCTAGGTCTAGGACTCTATTATCATATTTATTGAAAATTCCTGTTCTCTTTTAAGTGTGTAAAGCAACTTTAAATAACTAAAAAAACTAAATAAAGTTCTTTATTGAATTTTGGTTTTAATATTAATCACAGAGAATTTTAATGTACCTTTCACTTACTTATAAAAATAGCCCCGTGTGCTTCATTTGTAAAAATGCACTACATGTCCAATAAACCTGCAGAGCTTTTTTGTAGTTAATGAAGTATGTGCTAGTGAGTTCTCAGAAAGCTGGAGTTATTTGTGACAGGTAACTGTCACAAGGTTGAAAGAAGTTCAACATTTACAAATATCACACTCATTTTATACAAACTTACTGTTAAATGTCTACTGTACTAGTAATGCTACTTCGGTACCTGTTTTAAATTATCATAAAATAAGTTATTTTATCAATCTCTTAATGATCTAATCCAATTTAAGTTGTTTATGTATTTGCATCACATGACATTCTGAAACCTAATGTTTAGGTCACTCACTATAGATAAACCTACTTCTGGTTCAGTGCAAGGTATTGAAATTCATTGTGGGGCATAGCAAAATTCAGACCAGCAATTTGTAAAACTGGTACGTGACTGCATCAAATGTCATACTGGTCAGAGGTGGGCAGTCTTATTAATAAAGCAAAGCTATCAGTTACCTTATCATAAATTAATATACAGCAGAAGTAACTTACGTGGATACACATATATTGTCTACAGGCTAACTTGATAGAGAGCAAAATACTCTAATAATTTACAGCCTACTCTCTAAAATTACACTTCAGATTACCAAAAAACAGAGCTAAATGTATGTTGCCATTTATTCTCTGGTGCTGAGATCCACAGCCCCAGGTAACTGAGTGTACCATGAAAAACAGTACAGAAATGTTAAGTGTGTTTGTTTATTTTTGAAATGGATACAAAAAAAGTTCAAAGTGTTGCATGTTGATACACATGCTTGAGTGGGCTGGCTAGACTTAAGAGAACCATTTATTCTGCATGAAAAGCATTGTACAGAAACGAGCCCCCTACTCCTAGAAGTTTGTGGACGGATCCTTTATACCAATATGGTTTTTTTGCTGTGTTTCTTTAATCAGGTACCACAGCCAGGAACACTGAAACTGTCCCGCGTTCAGGAAGGCGGGTATGTTTTCCAGCTAACTGTGACAGACACTGCAGGTCAGCGGAGCTCTGACAACATCTCTGTGACCGTTCTGCCCATGGTTCATTCTGCAGCAGGTGAGAAAATGACTGGAGCCACCGCCTGTGTGACACCCAGGGCATGGTATTCAGAGCAAGGGTCTTGATGGAGGCTGAAACCGTATTCTCCATTTCTATGTTTTATTTTGCCCTTATTCATTAGATAGTGACATCTCTTTCAGCTTTGAATTGCTGTTTCGAAGTGAGGAAGCAGGCAAGCATCACTTGTTTGTTAGAGCAATAATACTTTCAAGCGTTTAAATGTTCATCCTTGTATTGCTAATAAACATGCACGGTTGGAAAACAAAATACTGACATACATATCAGGCACATCGTAACAGTTCATTGTATTGTCAGACGGTGTGTGCAACGTGACAGGGCTTGTGCTATAGGGAAGACCCAGTTAAAAGCAGTTAATAGTGTGCATGAGGCACACACTAATATTGACTTGCATCTGTAGTCTAAAAGATGGGATGGTTTCTTGTTTTCAAGCATTTAAGCTTTTCTGTGTAATGGTTTATCAAAGCCTTATGTTACTGGGCAAACAGAAGCTGGAATTGACCCATCATTTTTAAACTCTGAGCTCCAGAAATGTGTAAAAAGAATAAAATGTAGAAAGTAAGTTACATTTCAGTGGCTGTCAAATCTGCGCTCTTTAGTGTAATAACTTCTGATTACATTGTAATTAGTAAGTTGCTAATACAGATCTGCTGCTCTGGCACAAAGTAAATGTTAAATAGCATCATCACTGTGTTCAGCTGAACCAGTGAAACTTTGCACCAGTGCAGTATCTCTACATGAGAGGGTAATCCCTGTGGCAATAAATTGGTATTACAAAAAACAGTTATGTGTCTGCTTACTAATGCTTGTATTCCAGTAATGGATGATAGAGTTGTATTCATTTGTTTAACTTGGCTAAAGCAGGCAGAGAGGTTTGCTGCTTTATTTATTTGCTGCTGTGGGTATCTGGGGTACTGTTTGGATGGAGCACATGGATGATTTGATGACTTTTTCTAATTCCCCAAGTACTTGTGGGGGGCTTGCAATTCAAGTGCTACTGCTATAGTTAAACCAGCGCCCAGTACCTTAATGCATGCAAGGCCTGTGCTATTATTAGTGCTGAAGTTTGTGAGATGCATTGTCTGAGTATGAATTTAGGGGTTTTAAACAGGTGCCTGTGTTCCTGCCATACTTTCCTTAGCCTTGCACAGCTTTTTGGTACGTAGCAGGAAAACGACCAAAGGCTGTGACTTCCTTATGCAAATCAATAACATTAACCAAATGCTGAATTTGATAGTGCTTTACAAAGCAATGAACTACACCGCTGTTGAAAAGACAAAAGCATGGATGTAAACACTTGATAATTACAAGGTCAGAATGGATTTCAGGAAAGCTTTGAGTATGCAAAAAGAAATGTCCAAGGACACTCTCCATTTCCAGGGGAATCTAAATATTAAAGCAGGCAGCAATCAGTTCTTTCAGGTGAAGGTCACTTGTGAGACCTTGTGCATAGTCCCGTTCTGGCATGTGCTGTATAGGAGTCAGTGGATTTTTGATGTAAATAAATGACAAGCATTCTTTTAGTATTTTAATTAGGTTGCAGAAAACATGCCATAGAAGATCCTATATATAGTCTATATATGTGCATGTAAAATAACATATTGTCAGAAATACAGAATGGGTATGTAGTAGGAATTACGTGTCGGAGAGATGCAGCTACAGCCATAGAGATTTCATTTATTTATTTTCAGGACTGTCCTGGGTCTTTTAAGCCTGGGAAGATCTCCTTTCAGCTTAGGGCAGCTGAGTTTGAAGTGCTGTAGGGGTGCTACACAAGGTGTAAGGTGCAACAGCCTCCAGGCTGAGTATTCCTGTAGTAAAGAGATTGCCCGAATAGTGATGTGGGTGCCAGGAGCTGCTATTAGCTATATTAGCTGCTGTGTCCATACAGCATCATATAGCTGAGCCTGGCCTGTCTTCAGCTTCCTGCAGTGTTCGTGGGCCTTCTTGCCATAGCATGGTTTTGCTTTTTCCTCGGTGCTGAAGGTTTTATTCATCGACTCAGTATCTACTGCTTGGATTTCTCTTTTGGTAATTTGGGAAATGTTTCTCAACAGCCTGTGTCGGGGTTTGCTCTCGCTACCAGTTTATCTGCGATGATGGCTGCTGCATTGACATCACGTTTGCTTGTGATGGCGTGAGACAGTGCCCTGATGGGTCGGATGAAACTTTCTGCCAGAACTGTAAGTGTGCCAGGCCACAGTGTAGGTTGTGAAAGTAACCGCAGCCTGAATGGCCGGAGGGGAGCGGTGCCCCTTCTGTGGCCTCTCGCCCTGTGAGCAGGCAGCTTGCTCCCACCTCACAGCCTTTCACTGGAAGTAGCACGTGGGAAGGTTTACTGTCTGCATACAACAGCTGCTCAGATATTAACTCCCTTTTGCCTCACAGCATATCAAAACGCTCAAAGGTCCCCAGATGACAGATTTTGTCTTAAGATTTCTCAGCATCTAAAAGACCGGTCCTCTACTTGCATGACAATTCTGGAAACAAGGACCATAGTCTTGATCTGAAAGGGTGTTTCAGAGGTGTGCTTCAAAGCGCAATTACACACCTTGCAAGAATCTGAACACACTGGAAAGGTGATCCGAATCACCATTGCTCTGTTTGCTTTCATTAGCCATCCTCAGTATGTGCCCATGCTCAGCTAAGTGAACAAAAATCATCAGAAGGTGAATTGGCAAGATGGCTAATGATTCTTTCATTGATATTTCAGTTGCTGGATTTCTCTGTAGAGTTCATGAGTGTACTCTTGCTTAACAGCTGACCGCAGGCAATTGGTAACGTGCTATGTATCCGGAACTCACATTGCATCATATGTCTGAACCTGAGGCAGTAGTCATTTAGCCTGTCTCAAGGCCCCTATCAGACTGTCTTCTGTCAGACCACTCCCATTCCCTTCAATTCTATACAAAAAGTAAGATTTTTGTTTCTGTTAATACAGTCAGCCCAGGTCGGAAGACGGTGGCACATGCAGCTCTTGGCACTACCCAGCAAAGGACTGTAGGACTGACTGAAAGCACAGATGAAAACTTCTCTGCAGAAAACACCCTGAAAGCCACTGCCAGAAATCAACCGCTTCTCTCAGTGGATGCAGACATGTCTAACCAATCGCTTTCTCAGGGACCAAAGAAACAAATCAGTGGATTTTTGCCAGGTAAGGATGGAAGCAAATTGGTTTCAATAAATCATTATCTTTAAAGGAAGAAAATGTCGTGAACCTTAAATTTATTTGAATTGCCTTTTGGTGCCTGGCTAAGAGTAAAAATTTGCAAATGTAAAAATTACAAAAGAAGTTTGTAATAATTAAGTTACGAGTAGATACTGCTTTTTGATTGTCAGGTCTGGTTCTTACCAGGCACAAAAGGAAAGTTAAAATATAGGAATGTTAGGAAAAGAATACAGTCTAAGGAACAAAACATGCAGTGAGCTAAATACAAGTTCTGCCACAGATTCAGCTGTGTAAGCTGGTGTATAAGCAATAGGGCAGTATCTTCAGGAGACTATAACAAAGTACTGTTCAACTTGGGTGAGAGTAACTGCTTTTCTCCTGGTGCTAACTGATGACTTCTTTTTTTTTTTTTTTTTTTTTTCCTGAAGTAGTATCTTGGTTATTGTGGGCACTTCTTTTTGAAGTGTGTCTCCAGGGCAGGAGAGATCTTTCATCACTGTACAGAAGGCTTAGTCTTCGGTAACAAGCGACCCCAGGTCCCCAGTAGTATTCTCCGTAGTGGCTGCAAGCCTGTTGAGAGTCAGTGTGTAGTGATGTTACAGGCAGAGTCACCAACCCTTGCCTTGGTAAAGCTCCAGAAGCTACGGTGAAATTGTTGTGTCTTTTAAGGTTCCTGCTGGTGAATTAAAATGATCTCAAATGGCAATTGAATGAAAGCAAAACTGTGTGCACAGAGCCTAAGATGAGTATGAGACCTTGCACTTTTCTTTCTTCATGACTTAGACTGATTCTTGATCCCCACGACGCAGCTGTTTATAAACAGCTTTATTTTCTTGTTACAGCAGAGCAGTGCTCAGTGCCCTCTGCTGCTGACTCTTGTAAAGGGCACTTCCCTGGTTGTCACTTTGGTGTTTCGTCAGATGCTTGTACTTCATATGTGGAGACCACAAAGGGACAGAAAAACAACGTTCTTCAGTAATTTGACTGCCTTGGTGAATGTGTAGGAACTGATAGCAAAATCCTCTCTCAAATATTTCTTTCTTTTCTGGCAGTGTAGATGACCTCAGTGCTCCCTATTGGAATGACTTCAAATTCTGAATTCTGCCCCAAACCCTTCTCGCTCACATAATCCTGAGTGACACCTGATATGGGGCCACCCAAACTAAACATTGAATTGCCAAAGGGCATTGCAGGTTCCAGTGGAAAGTCAGCTGCTAAGTAGGTCTCAAAACCCATTGGGTTTGTGAATCCAGAAGAAAAACCAGAATTGAGGTCACCAACTTTGGCAAACTATAATCAGAGGTTATAATTGGAAGTGTATGTAAAACCTTGGCATTTTTGCATAGTCATTTTCTGTGTTTATTCGTTGCACAGTGACTTCCTTGACCCGTGTTTGCTCTCAAGGTAGACTTCTGCACAGTAGACAATAAAAGAAAAAAATTTATTATAAAACTAAAAAAAAGTCATGGAGCTTCAATGATTAGTGTGCTACCAGAAGCTGTTACAATCTTTTTAATTTTAAACAGGCAAGATTTCCAGCCGACCATGTCTGGTTTTAATTCTTGTGGTTTTAACACTGCTCTTTCGACAAGGCTCAGTCAGAATTTAATTTCAGTTAAATGATACTTAAGGATTGCCTTGTGGAATAGAAGGACCCAGTCCTTCCTGACCCAGGAGCCCAATACCTTCAACCAAAAAAGCAGCAAACAGCTCAGTGAGTTTTTAAGTTGTCTATGGATCAGTTCCAAAGAGAGTGCGTATGGTGGGACATGAAGAGGTAGGTGCTAGGTACCAGGATCCAAAGGGCAACTGCCAAAATCTACTCTGAGTTGCTCTCTTCTCATGCAGACATTTCAACTCCATCGGAGTCCCATGCTTGTACCCTAATGATTCCCAGAGGTCCAGAGAGGTTCAAGTCCAGCCCCACTGGCAAGCACCACAGTCTTTATGGAGTTGAGGAGACAGGCATCTAACCTATTCCTAAAAATCCATCCAGACCTATTAATTAGATTTCTGTCCATCACTGCGATCTCAAGGAGGTTACAGACCATATCTAATCATTAGGTGCTGCAAAAATGTGAGACACAGAAACACTGGAGCAGCTCCATGAAGCCCATCTGGAAAAGTGTTCCAGGGGGCAATAATTGGTAGATCCATTTTTGAGGAGAGGTAAGCAGCACTGAATAGAAATCATACCAGCAGCCTCAAAAGTTCAGCAATTCCACTGGCAGAAATCCTGTTGAGGGATGGACTGTCTCCTGGGACAGTGCTGGACCTGCTGCTGGTGCCCGGGCAGAACCCGTGCCTCCGAGTCACACTGTAGAGGTCTTTGTTGGACCAAGACAGGAATGTTGCTTGTTGGCCTAGAGTTGACTGTGCAAGCATCCAGGCTCCTGATACACTATTATAAATAAATTTTTAAAATAAGCTTTAATGATTTGAATGTCAACATGGCAAAAAGTTGTCTGCTTAAGATACATATTAAGGAATATGGTTTTACAGTGGCAGCACAGGTTCCAGCTTTTCATTTGGAAGCACTCCATTCAGGGCTACCTTTGTCTTATTTCTTAGCTGGCATTTGCAGATCATCATGGAAATACAAGCCAGGAAGGAAAACGTGATGCTTTTAAATCCCACAGCTGCAAGGCAGAGCAAGAGAAGGTGTTAAGGGTAATTTACCTACCAGAGACAGCATGTGGCACATTCTAGGTGGCTGCTAGACATGATGCTCGATACAGGAGCTTTCAGATGACTTTTAAAGAACAGAGGTTTTTCCCAAGAAGTTGCATGACAGGGGAGTTGCTTTGTTTTCCTTTTTACATTTGTTTTTATTACAGCAGTGGTTACAGTATCAATAAGACAGGTCCCTTCTGCTACTTAGCTCCCCATAAGCAGCTTTCATCTCTGACTATCCAATAAAGAGACCTCCTTGTCAAGGACCATCATATTTATCTTCTCTCTAATTTTAAAAGGAGCTGGGCTAAAGCTGTAAAGTTTTAGGCTGTGGGATAGTTCCTTGCAGCAGGTATATGAGCTTTCTGCATATGAGGGTGATACTAGGGGAAAGCTGTCCCAGAATCCATTTTCTCGTAATAGTTTCTCTGTTTCAGATTTCCCTTAACCTGCTTTCTTTACTCCAGTAGCCTCTCATGTTTGGCTCTGACTTGATACAAGCTTTTTAAGGATTTACACTTAAGTATCAAAATGCAAAAATACACAAGTCCAAGGTAAGGACTGTTTAAAACTTCTGCCCAACCTAGCAGGGGATCTATTCGCAGTAAAGAGGGAAAAAAAAAAAAAAAAAAAAAAGGGCAAAACAGAACCCAAAGGTCGTTCATTCATTCATTGTTGACAATGGGTGAATCTTTTTCTGCACTCTTGCCTTCCCAGTGGGATTCCTCTACCACAGGGTGAGTCCAGGGGAACACCAAGTCCAACCTAGAGGTAACCGCCTCAGGCACTCAGGGCATGGAGTCTTCTCCAACAGAATGATGGTTTACTTTTGACCAAGCTGGAAGGCCAAATATTTTCTTCCATAGTTGGGAGCAGATGCTGGAAGAGTCATTTGATGTCAATAAAGGAGTCCTTTCCCTTTGCAGACATACCTCCATAGTGAAGTAACCCAGACCACATCTCCTCCAAAGGCCAGCACGACATTTCTGCAAGGCTGCCTCCGAAGTGCCCCGGTGTCCTTTGCCAGGGAAGTTCTCAAGCCCAGCTGCATATTCTGGCACTGCTGCACTTGTAAACGAGTATAGCAAAAATATAATTGCAGCAAAGTACACCGGAGTGAGCAGTGGGCTGGTTTCTAAGCAGCAACAGCCAGTCTAGCAAACATGGTCACGCAGACGGGTTGAATTCACAAGCAGCCTGAGGATTTGCACACCCCAGCATAGCCAACTCAAGTGTATAAATCACCATAACAGCTTTGCATTCCCCTGGCTCCGGGTCTCTGTCCACACCAGCTGTCATGCAGTACTGCTCAGGGCTGCCATCTGACTGAGTGCCCAAGCCTCAGTCACATTTTTTCTGCAGTGGCATTGGCAGCAGTAGCCATAACCTACATCACTAATTTAGGGTAACTGAAAAGGGCTAAAAATTGCAATTTCCTAGGCAGGGACTAGAAAATTAAAAGAAACTGAAAACAAAACAAAACCCACATAACATGCTTTATGTCAAGTTCTTAAACCTGTCTAGGGAAATCTCTGTTTGTTTTCTAGTTGATAAGAGATAAGATGTTGAGCAGTCTTGACTCTGATAGCCCTTCCAGTCTTGTAAGAACAGCCACAAGTCTTAACAAATCCCTTCAAGCTTTATTGAAGGGATTCTGTTATTCTTCTACCCATCAGAAATTTTCCTGCTAAACTTCTCTCCAGCTATATTCGCCAAATGTCTTTACAAGCAGTTAACTTAAGTATTCCCTTTACTCAAATGTCAAGGAAACAAATTTATAAAACAGGCATTTAGATCTAATCTTGTCATACAGGTGGGAGCAGCTCTAGGAAGAACTAATGTCTTTTGGGTATTTTCAAAATAAAGACAAATATTCATTTAATTTCATTTAGGAAAGACAGAAGCATGAAACAGCTGCTGGTTTTGGTCTCAATTACATTCAGGTTATTTTGCACAGCTCTAATACCATACAGGTACCTCAAAACCAGTACAGTTTACACTTAGGATTTCACAGAATCACAGAATGGTTTGGGTTGGAAGGGACCTTAAAGATCATCTAGTTCCAACCCCCCTTCCAGGAGCAGGGACACCTTCCACCAGCCCAGGTTGCTCCCAGCCCCATCCAGCCTGGCCTGGAACCCTTCCAGGGAGGGGGCAGCCACAGATGCTCTGGGCACCCTGTGCCAGTGCCTCACCACCCGCACAGTCAAGAATTTCTTCCTTACATCCAATCTAAATCTACTCTCTTTCAGTTTAAAATCATTACTCTCAGGTAAAGAGTCCCTCCCCACCTTTCCTGTAGCCCCCTTTAAGCACTGGAAGGCTGCTGTAAGGTCTCCCCAGAGCCTTCTCTTCTCAGGCTGAACACCCCCAACCCTCTCAGCCTGTCCTCACAGGGGAGGTGCTCCAGCCCTCTGATTATCTTCATGTCCCTCCTCTGGACCCACTCCAACAAGTCCATGTCCATCTTACGTTGGATGCAGAACTCCAGGTGGGGTCTTGTGAGGGCAGCATAGAGGGGGAAAATCCCCTCCCTCAACTCACTGGCCACACTTCTCTTGATGCCGCCCAGGACACAGTTGGCTCTCTGGGCTGTGAGCGCACACTGCTGGTTTGTAGTCAGTTTTCCAACCACTAACACCCCCAGGTCCTTCTCTGCAGGGCTGCTCTCAATCCACTCCTCGCCCAGCCTGTATTTGTGCTTGGGATTGCTCTGACCCATGTGCAGGACCTTGCACTTGGCCTTGCTGAACTTCATGATGTTTGCGTGGGCCAACCTCTCAAGTCTGTCAGGGTCCCTCTGGATGGCATCCCTTCCCTCCATCGTGTCAACCACGCCACACAGCTTGGTGTCATCAGTGAATTTGCTGAGGGTCCACTCAATCCCACTGTCCATATCTCCAGCAAAGATGGTCCTTATCCACCAAGTGGTCCATCTGCTAAACCCACGTATCTCCAATTTAGAGACAAGGATGTCATGCAGGACAGTGTCAAATGCTTTGCACAAGTCCAGGTAGATGACATCAGTTGCTCTTCCCTTACCCACCAGCGCCGTAACCACGTTGCAGTAGGCCACCAAATCTGTCAGGCATGATTTGCCCTTAGTGAAGCCATGCTGGCTGTCACCAATCACCTCCTTATTTTCCATGAACCCTAGAATAGTTTCCAGTCAGATCCGCTCCGTGATCTTGCTGGGCACAGAGGTGAGAATGACTGGCCTGTAGTTCCTTGAATCACCTTTACATGCCAGAACAACTTAAAGAACCCGAATGAGGAGGAGGGCTGCAACTTGCTGCTAAGGTATTTCCTAGCAGGTGCAGTTAGTGTTTGTGCACCCCTGGCCATCATGCCAGGGCAGTAAAGCCAGAGCCTGGGAGGCCACGTTGTGCCTTAAAGTGGGGACATTAGCACTAACTTCATGCCAGGATCGATGAAACAATTTAAGCTTTAATTAATGATGGTGTGTATTTGCAGCTGCCGCTGACAGGAACACGTTGTGCAGCACTTTGGAGCTGGTGGTGGTGGGTGGGAGTTACACATGGTGCGTGTTCCAAGCTGATTGATTTAAACACTTCCTTAACACCCACCACTATATGTAATTCCAATTAAAACATTTCACATTCATGTTTTACAGCTCTTGTAGCATAGTATGTTTCCACTGGCATCGTCACAGTTCCGAGGGCTGCCAACAGATATAGCACAGCGCAGTCAAAGTGCCCTTCAATATTTATCAGTTAAATATAGTCATTACATTTAAAAGCATAGGCGTCGTTCTGATTTCTGCAAGAGTGTCTTGGTGGATTAAGCCGTCACTCTTGCGGGAAGTGTCCCCAGAGCTCTTGGTGTAGGACTTCAGTGGGAGGGCTGGAGCAGGGAGCCCCAGCCGAGTTACTCTTTGCTCCTGCGAAGCAGAACCGCAGCCACCTGCACGCCCCAGATGAACACTTCTTGGCAGCAAATGATGCATTGTCTCTTCTTACGTAGTTACAGCGCTCTGCTCTATCTTCTGTACTACACAAAGCTGAAGTGACTCCAAGTCATCCTGTTAGAAATGTTTTCTCCACGTGTTTTTGTGTCTTCCAAGTACATAAGTTCTGCATCTGTATGTCAGTAACAGGCAGAATTAAGATAATTTGTGTAGCCAGCTTATGCGTTTCCTGCTTTACAGGTTCAAGGGGTAAAGATCAACATAACTTGAAATGGCCTCATTTTCACCTATACGTAACTGCTTTAGTAATGTGTTAGCTCAGATTGGGCTATACCCCATTATGGAAGTTTGTAAAAGAGAATTTATATCCATCTTTTTTTCAGTGGAAAATTACTCTCTTTGGTTTGATTGAGATGCATTGTGCTTTGCAATGCAAAATTGAATTTACATTTTAGCTTTAGTTCCACGTTATTTAAAAAATCCAAGTTATACAATAGGAGTCAGAAGTTCTTAAACTGTGGGCTTTATTCTAAATTTAAGTGCTTTCACATTACTTAATTCTTGTGTCCTGTGGATAAGACTTCCTGAGTCACTGAACTGCAATATTCATTTATCTTACTTGACTTTGTGCAGATAACAGTTCCTCAGGGAAAATAACAGATGATAAAAATAGGAATGGCATAATGGTGCCAAAGAGAGATCAGCTTGGTGGTGGTCATCCAGTCCCAGAAACAGGTAAGACCGACCTTGTTAATTTATTTTGAATTATGTTAGTTTTTTAGTCAGGTGCTGTAAATTCAGATACTACAGTCAAGAATTAAATAATGTATTTCCATATAATGAACTGTTCCTAACTTGTAGGATCATAGGGTTTAGTTTCCCAGCATGGGTTGCTCCAAATATTAGCACCTAAGTGATAGACTAGCTGTATTTTTAAAGAAAAATTAAGTGTGATTTCCCTTAATCTCGTCGCAGGTGCCGTGTTACCCTTAGCCTTAGGCTTGGCCATCACTGCTTTACTGCTGCTTATGGTTGCTTGCAGACTGCGGTTAGTGAGACAGAAGCTTAAAAAAGCTCGACCCATTACATCCGAAGAGTCCGATTACCTCATCAACGGGATGTATCTCTAAAAATTGGATTTAGGTCAGTTGTGTTCTCCCCTTTCTCCTGTGTCGATGAACCTCTGCCTCTAGAAAAGGACCAAAACCTTTAGTTAAGTTTTGAGTGTAGAAGAAGCCTATGAGACGAGGAACATGTTCTTCCCCCTCGGTGATAAAATAAAAAAGTGGGTAGATGCCCGTGCTCGGAAGGTAAGCGGCGTTCAGGCTCCAGAGAGTGGCTCCAGTTGGCTCTTGCGCAGAAGACACTGCAAAGTGGGACACCCCAAACTGGATGCGGGGTGCCTCTGCCCTGCCCCGCAGCCGATGGGGGTCCCGGCGGCGGCAGAGCGTGCCCTGGGGGCCGGAGCAGCCACTGCCCAGCGCTGGCCGAGGCGTAGAGGGGAGCCTGTGCCGCCCTGCTCTTGGCAGCGCTGCCACCGCCGTGCTCCGCTCCGGGAGCGCGTTACTTCCCTGTCCAGCAAAGACTGATTTGTGTACGTGTCACCTGATGCGCTGGGAGTATTTTCATGAAAGAATTTGTCTTGCTTTATTAATTAAAAGCAATTGCTATCTAAGCACCAGCTTTTATAACAAAAATCGGGATTTAAGGAACAAAGCATCTTCTTTTCATTTGTAGTTTAAACCTGTGCAGATAACAGGGTCATGCTTACTAAATGCTAAAAATGAAAAAATACAAGCCCTCAGTGGGTGAGTTTGGACTTACCAGTGCTCGACAGCAGTCATGTAGGATCCCAGAGCTACGTCTCTCCCCGAAGCGCAGGGCTCGTTCAGCCTTTCCCACCCCTAGCTGGGCACCCCCCACAGCCTGAGAGCAGCACGCAGCGGCTTTTACCCGAGACACTGGAGCGTAGGATTCCTCTGGTTATCCCACAGCTCCCGCAAAGCTTGAAAGCTTCAGTGACCTGCCCTCACCCCAGAAAAGTTCTCATAGAATTAGAGCAAGTAATTGGTACGTGTGAGTGAACTTCAGATGTGTTAACAGTAAAATGTGTACAGTACATGTTATATATACACACATATATATACACGCACACACCCCCCCCCTCCATGCTGTCTGTCTTGTTTGACTGTCCAAGGATATCACATTCATCACAGGTCTCAATAAAAACAGAGGCAAAATGAGGCATGCATCTTTTTGTATGTCGTCTTTTGTACTTCAGTAACTTCGAATCAGCAAGAATATTGCCACAGTATAAAAATAGTTCCTCAAGTTGCTCAGTCTTGATTACTTTATGTAAAATAGCTCTAATAAACCTATTTTATTCTTACATTTCTTGTATCGCCTTTATTTGCAGCTACCAGCTAAATTTTGTGCTACGAGACCATAGCACGAGAGCAGACAGAAGTACATTTCTCCTTTCTGTAAAACAGCCTTAAAAGAAGCTGGAATGTGTATGGGTGGGGGGAGTTGCTGAGATACTTTGCTTTAGGAAGACTGAGAAGAACAGGGTGCCTGCCTCCGTGTCCTGTCTCTCGAGCCGTACTGGAGCTGAGCAGGACACCAGTCGCAGGGCTGGCTGTGCCAGCCGCTCAGGGAATCCGGTTGCCAGTGCTGCTTGCTCAGAGCCCCCCTGCCACCTTAGGTGAAGTCCGGTTGTTTGTGCTGCAGCATTACATTGGGTCCCAATGTTACCTTCTGCTGATGTTGCTCATTTCTAACTTGGCAGCACGGCCTCTCTTCCTTCCTGGCCTGCGGCAGGCTTGGCAAATCGCACAAGACCCAAAAGACCATTTTAAATACAGCCCTCTGTGAAAGACTCACTGCCCACCTGGTTTTGGGGTATTATTTCCCATCACCGAAATTTGTTTGGGGTTTTTATTAAATATCTAATTCTCCTTCACCGTCTTACTATAGCAGCAAGCAAAGTAGTCTTTTCTCTCTGTGCCCACCGAAATTACCAAAAGCCATTACTCCAGCACACTGCCAGCAGAGCAAAAGGTTTGTTTTTGTTGTTCTGGGCAGGACAACGGTGAGATCCCACATGGAGCACAAGCCAGCTAGTGCAGCTGAGGTGCAAGATGCTGCTCAGCTTCCCGGCCGCTTTACCCGACAGCAGGCTTTGCTGCTGTGAGCGGAATCAACCTTCATGAATTTTGCGTTTGAAAGCCAAGAATAAACACCTCCAAGCAGAGCTGGAGCGAGAGCAGCAGGCAGCAAGCACCAGAGTCTGGCTACCGCTACGCTCTAGTTGCCACACTCTTCCCAAGGACTCTTCTTTCTAGGAGGGGAGATGGTGACAGTCGCTGCTGTGCAGACCACCAGCTTGAGGCCTGTCACTTCTCCCATGATCGCAAACTCCACAGTTGGACTGCAACACAAAAAAGTTTGTACCCTACCAGGATGCCTGGGCATTGTCAGCGAGATGAAGAGCAAGACAAAGTAAGACACAGTAACAGATTGGTCTGGCAGCTCCTGCAATTAAAACGCCTCGATAACACGTTTTGATTTAATAGCTTCCATGCTGTTTGACTCTAAAGGAGTGATCCTGAACTACTGAGCCAGAGCCCGTCCCAGCACTAGCAGAAGAAGTTGTGGCAAGGCACCCTTGTCAACACGCTGGGGGTGCTGCCCCCTTCTCCCCAGGCTTCTCCCAGCCGTGGCTCCCTGCTGACACGGCTTCTGCAGCTCCTCCCCAGCCACTCCCGGGGTTGGGGCTCTCTCTGCAGTCGCAGAGGAGCACTCTGAGCAGGCACTGCTTCTACCCCATCTTTACCTTTGCATTGCTAACTGCTTTCACGGCTTCTCATGCAAACTTCAGGAGCTGTGGAGTTTTATACAGCGTTTATACCGCCGCAGAAGTCAGATATTCTGTGTGAAAATCATCACTATTTGAGGTCTGTCAGATATGTTTTTCCTGTCCTAAACACTGACGTGTCTATCCACACACCAGGGAATATACTCAGTTTACTTATTTTTACTACCAGTATGCTTTAGACAGATAAGCAAAGAACACTGATTGCTCTGATGTCATATACCTGTGGATATTACTCTTCTGTGTATCAGGAGAGGTCATTACAATTTGTTTTGTCAGTGTATTTCAGTGTTGATCAAGATACATATTTTAGTTAGATTGCTTTTTATATTTTTAATTGTTTTGCCCTTCGGATCAACTTACGTACATTTAAGGGTATAAATTAATTCAGAGTAACAGGCAATACCTGCCTGAGTTTTATCCATAATTACAAGTCAGTTTTCTTCTGTAACATGGGTTGCTTGCCATTCACTTTTGCAGGGGATCCCAGACTGAACATCGCCACTGTAGTCTTTCCATAGCGCTGCAGGATTATAGCAGGGGGCAGTTCCAAAAGCACATTTGCAAAACAAAAAGGCTGAAATAGGTCAGTGTGATGCTCCATTTGCTTTTTAAATCCTAGATAAAGCGTAAGATTTTTCGATCCCAAACCCCACAGAGCGAGTCAGCAGCATGAACCAATAGCAACACAAACACGCCACCCCAAAACAAAGCGAGAGCCTTTCCAGTAAGCCCCAACAGAATTCACAGTCATGCATCACTGAGGTCTACATTTGCTGATTTCATGAGCATTGGGAATTGGGATGTTTTGGTTTCTAATGGCAAAAAGCTAAAAGAGTAAAAGCAAAGGGAAAAGCTAGAAAAGATTCAGAGAGAGCTGATGGATGTAAAGACCAGACAGCGGCAATGAACATGTAGCAATTAGTAGAAAAGAGCCAATGAAACAATCAGCTTGACCTGAGAAAGAAAAGGGAACCATGCTGTAAATATGAGAAAAAAAAAAAAAAGTAGAAATTTTGCTATATATTGTTCAACTAACAGTTACTTAAGTCAGAAGGTGACAATGGAAGGCTAGAAATAATTTTTTAATACAACAGAAACACTTGCTGAACATTGCACTCTGCACTGAAGCTCTAAAACACGAAGAGAGGACTAGAAGGACCGAATCAACACAAAAAGCCAGTTCAGAAACAATTTTTTAAAGATACCTGCTAGAATTTTAACTTTTGTATTTGTAAGGCTCCTGGCTGATAGATATAAGCCACTCATAACTCAATGAAAAGTGTATTTTTAGCAGACTGAGAAACAACAGACAAGGCAGAAAGGCTCAGTGCTGTGAAGGACTGAGTCACAGCTTGCAAGGATGTCCTTATCTGTTTGGACAACAGAAATGTTTAATCTCCTTTTAAAGAGGACACAGTAAGAACTTCTAACATAGTTCTTCACAACTACTAGCTCCTAGCGCACAGAAGAGACTCATTACAGATACCTAAATGCAAAACAAATGACTGAACAACATAGATACAGAGGGAGCAGGAAACTTGAGTGGGTTCGGGACTGGGAAGGGCTTGAAAGCAGGGATTATGGGGAAAGCATCCTTGAGGGCTAATTCTGTGCACAGGAGATGCCCTTCCTGAGGCTGCCTCTACAGCCAGAGGAGACAAACTTCAAAGCTCTGATCACAGCATTAGCCCAGGCAGATGCTCTGAATCATCTGCTTCCCTAACTACAGGCCTTTGAGAGCGTCCTCCTAGTCCATAAGGCACCTGAAATAAAAGTTACTGATTAACCTCAGATTCCCTTTCTCCATCATAGCAAAAAAAAAAAAAAGATTTGGCAGAACATGGTAAACAAGATACTTAACCTGTTCCTAATAAAGGCACATAAGATGCAAACAAATGCCTAAACATCGCTGAAAAAAATACTTCAGCTTCTCATTAGCATCAGGGAAGGTTTTCAAGAGTATCTATCAGGTCAGTTCCTCAGAAGTATATGATGAAAATGGTGGGACTACACAGAAACATTAAAAGATTGAAGTGAGATCTCAGAGAAGCTCTGTCAACAGTCTTCATGAAGATAGTCTGTTGTCGCTAAGACAGAGGTCTGTTAAAAAGGCACATGATTAAGACTCTCAAGTTTTAAAGCTTGGTGTGATGAAACACAAAGCAAGTTCTTTCCATTTCTCCTTCCTGAAACTTTCAAGCAATTTTCAACAGGCAGCTGGATCTCCTACATATATACTGCAGCAATAACTACGTCCATTCAATTCACAATTTAAAGAAATACAACTTTAGTTCCTGAACACATTCTGCTAAGCATCTCATTAACACCCTGCCAAGCGTGCGAAAGAACAGTAACAGCCTTTCATAAGAAAACTCAGAATTCATCAGCTGTGTTACGAATTTGTACTGCCCATAAAACTACCACCTGGAACAGAAAGCAGCCCTGTATGTCAAGGATGAAATGTGGGATGTAAACAGGTCAGGTAGAGGAAAGTTTATAGTGTCTCTGCTTACACAGGGCCAAGTTTTAGTCCAAGTTGATTTCCTCAAACCTGGCTGAAGCACAGAAACCCAAACCTTGCCAGCGGGTGCTCTGAGCACACAAGTGCTAAACAATTACAGTGAAGGCAAAAAGGTTTATGATACCTTAAGAGTATCTATGCATTTCCCACAATTGGTCTCCAACCTTTCGTAATTATAAGCAGATAGACAAAAATTCAAACAGAGGCAAACTATGAATCCACGAAACCAACTTAAACAGCATGCTTGAATCCACATATTGTTCATCACAGCGTTTGAACTCTAATTTATGCTTCCTGATGTGTGAAAGTCTGGATGTCCTGAAATGCAAAAGACCAGTTTCAGACCTCAGTCTCCTGCATCCCCCTGCACACGCTGCCTTTTGGCAGCACTTCCCCTTGGTGTTTTTTTGTTTCGTTGTTTTGTTCTGCACAATGTGCTTGTGTAACCTCATCATGCCTTTTTTTTTTCCCCTGAGCCTGGACCACTGGTTATTCACTTCAGCAGAATACCTCTTCCACATCATCTGGGACAAAGAACAAAGGTTCCACAGAAGTAATTAGTATCATTGATCTTCCTAACTGCATCACAGTATGTTCAAAATCAGCTAAACGGAACCAGAGATGCAAATCCCAAGCTTGGTTTGCATTACTCATCTTTTGCATCATGTCAAAATCAAGATGGAATTGCAATCATATCCTCTTTCTCTGAGCTGCACTTAAATCAACTGCAGCACATCCTAGGGCACATTAATGAGTAAAAAGAAGAAAACGCTGCTGTTTGTTGTAAGAATGGGTTAACACCCTTCTTCCTAGCAGGAAGTTCAGAACTTTCTTCTGGGCATTTTAGCTTACCTCTTTGTGCTGATGGTTAATTCCACAGTCCCTCCACACTGGAAAACCCTGGAGCCTGTGACAAAAACCCTGCGCACGCAGAGAGAACTGCTGCCAGCAGGACATTCCATAACCTACAGCATAGAGCCCCCTGCTCCAG